GATCAGAAGCAGAGGTTCAGACTGATGAAACCTGATTCAGCTGGGCCTTTTGGTCATGAAACAGCTATCCAGATGTAAACCACAAAAGGCAGCTTTGGTTGAGCAACCCAGAGAAACTCTGAAGATCCACAGGAACTCCGACCTGGGAGGGTTTCATGTTCCCAGTGATCTCATGCCAGGATTCCCTGAGTCCAGCGTATTGCTGCTCCCTGTTAGCTCTACAAACCTTTATCGTTGGTGTGAGCACACAAGAGGTCATTCGATTCCCTCCCTGAAGGGCTGAGTAAGGACCATATGCATACCTTCCGGAGGGCAGGGGCCATCTTGTTGGTCAAGGTGCCAGCCACAATCATGACATCAGCTTGCCGGGGACTGGCACGGAAAACCACCCCAAAGCGGTCCATGTCGTAGCGCGGAGCGGCCATGTGCATCATCTCGACTGCGCAACAAGCCAAGCCGAAAGTCATTGGCCACAAGGAGCTCTGAGGGAAGAAAAGGGGAAGGCGGCTCACGTCCAGCAACGCTGTCATTTCACCTCCCTCTTAAACCAAACAGCCCTGCCCACGAGTGCAGGCTAGCGCCTCTTTCCCTTCCCTGTTTTGCCCCACCAAATATACTGCTGCAGTTCCAAACATGGAAGTTCTACACCTAGTTATCCTGAGATATGACCAATGGATGATCTTTGGTGCCTTTAATTCTAGTATGTGACAATGCAGCTCAGCAGCCTTCCTCCCTGCCTGCATTATTCCTGAGCCTCAGTAATTAGGATGGCCAGAGATTCGGTCTCCATAAATCAGTATCTTCCCTCCCATGAAAACTAGCAACTTGCTATGTAAGCTGAATTGTCCCAAATTAAAAATGTGGCATTGCTGAAGTATCTTTATGTGCTGACAGAATCTACAGAAGTTCTAAGTGCAACAGAAAGAGGATTGCCAGTAATAGAACATCGACCAATACTCCAACTTTTGGAGAGAGAAGCAGAATTCCAGTTTGGCTAGGAAAAAGTCTCAAATGAAGTCTCCAAGTATGGAGTCC